TTTTTTTTTTTTTCGACTTCTTAATGCTTAAAAACGTATTTTGTATCGTTTTTATTCCACAAATTGCTCAAAAGCAACAGGCTTTTGGTGTTGGTACATTACCGATAGCAACTGTAGCAGAGTTTTGAAGCAATAAAGAAAGAAAAAGTGAACGAATAGAATTTGTATCGATTGCATATAAATTTTGGAAGGTGTGACGGAGGGAGGGAGAGGCGGAGGCAATTAAATGGCGCTGAAGTGAGATTCGAAAAAAAAAAGACGTTATGTTTTGGAATTGGTAAATTTAAACAATTATACATACATTTATTGAAACGCATATTAACATCGTTCTGATCACCACTTATTGACCTTTGTTATCTGCTGACTTTAGCTTTTATTTATACATTGCAGTTATAGATGTTTTTTTCTTCTTAGCACACTTTTTTCTTCCTTTTTTTTTTTTTTTTGTCTTCAAAAATCAACAACGTATAGTTGTCATTTGATATGATGGATTTTTGGTTTTTTTCTGACTAATTTTCATCGATGATTTTCACTTTTTTTTTCTCTGAATTTAGTGGTGGAAAAGTAACTTTTGCTCATTTTTGGTTTGTTGTAGCAACATTGCAATACTGTTTTGAAAGGTTACAATTTATTGGTTCAAATAATATTGGTGGTGACATCTATCGGTTTCTATGTCTTGTAATTTTTTTTGGATTTTGGTCATCGTTTAAAAATTTTTTTACAGTTTCTGTATTTAACAAATATTTTGATAGTTGTTAGATTTTAAGTACTGCAACAACTGGTGATTGCCAGATGAAATAAGGTTAGTTTTAGGCTTAGTATAATTACCATTGAGTATAGTATTTCTCGGGAATCTGAAAATTATTGTATTAAAGACACTGTAAAATTGTTGCTGTTTCCTATTTGGGTATTCTGTAGCAGGCTATTAAATAAATAAACCGAAGTAATTTTCTTTAGAATTTTGGTCGATTACACACTGAAATGAAGGAAAATGGTGAACTGAGGTGGCAGTTGGATTATCACTAATTTTTTCTGTTGATTATTTTAAATGATTTCTCAATTAAAGAATAAAGTCACTTTCTTGGATTGAATTTTTAATGTCACATATGCGGTACATTTACGTGTGCCGTAATCCAATTCTATTTATTTTATCAAAACCAGACCTCTTGGTAAAAAATTTTTATTATATTTTTATAACTGAAATATTTTCTTAAAAGGAAACATTTTCAAAACAACTGGTTCTTTTAAGAAAAAAACCTTTTATAAAAACTGCTAATTGTTTTTCTAAGATCGTTTTCATTGAAATTTTGAAACTTTTCAATTTTCGGCTTTTTTTTTTCACATTAAGGTTTTTTAAATAAATAAAAGGTATTTTTTGCTGCAGAATTAACAGTGCAAAAATATGGCGAGACATTTTTGCAAGACGGAATAATAAAAACCTACGAAACTTTTGGTTAGATAATTGTTAAGAAGTTTTCAAAAATTGTTATTAGAGCGATTTTATAACTGAACGTTTATACTGTTAATTAGATGACGTAGATTTTGACTTTGTGATCAGTAGGTTGATGGAAAGATTGGAAATCTTTAAAACTCCTTCTTACAGTTATGGATTTATTTATCTGACTTAGAAAGTTTAAATTGTTGCTGTTTTACATCGTTGTTTGTAAGCAATTTCTAGAAAAAACCTAATCTTATATTGAGTTAGCAGTTACTGAATATTTTTTTAACATTAGTTTAATCAAATAAATTTTTAGTCAGATAAATTTTGTTTCAAATTAACATCACCTTTTTTTTTTTTAGTAAATGCTTGTATAACGCTTTTTGACGGTGTAGGAGATGATAATCTTAAGCTGGGATTACTGAGACTATTACAGCAACTATATTTTTTTGGCTCATGCAGAGACCTTGAAAAAAAAAAAAAAAAAAACAAAAAAAAAGCATTTTTTGTGGAATACACCTCTTCCAATTTCCTTCCTACTGGTTACTTTTTTGGAGCTTAAATATTTGCCTGTAGTCGGTTCTTTTGCATATTTTTCTGTCTGGGAAAATAGCCTTATTCTGTACATCATTTTTCTCGGAAAGTTTTGCATTGTTGGCTAAATAACATTTTTCATCTTTAAAAGCGCAATTAAACTGCAAAAGTAAGTCACGTCGAATGCTTAAATGATATGATTTACAGAGCTGTCGAACGGGGAAAATCAAAAATAAAAGTTCATTAGTTTTTTCTAAACTTCCATAATAGGTTCACGGCTGATGAATGATTTCTGAAAATCTTCAATTTGATGTCTTGTCATTACAGACATTTAATTTTTAACATAATCATTTAAGATGACAGATAGCTGAAACTGTAGTACTTTCACTGGGGAACTTTCAACTGGCTGTCATTTAGACAGAATATATACAGTTGCAAAAAGTTGGCTGAGACATGCATGTAATTGTTGGTTTTGATCTTATCTAATTTTTGATCAATTAGTTTATATTTTGGCTGAATAATTTCGTTCTTATCTTTATACATTTATGTTCGCTTTTTCAGATTATTTTTTTGTTAGAAGAAGTTTCAAGAAACTTTTTATTGTTTTTAGTGACTTTTTTCGTCAACATTTCAAAGGTTACGTCACAAAACTTCAGTCGTTGTAATTCGTCAACGGTACAATTACTGTTTCTTTTTAAAAATTTCACTGTTGCTTTAATTGCAGTTAAAACGTTTATGCAAATGTTCAAATCTTCTTGTTTTTGTCCTTCAATTGCTGTTTATTTGAATACATTTTGTTCTTTTGAGTATTAGAAAGTAATTTTTTTTTTCTCAAGATAACAGGACTAACTGTATTGCCCACTGCTATCTGAAAACATTTCTATACATCACTTTCATCGGGGTTTGTTAAAGGAAGATTTGTGGTTATCGGTTATCATAAGGGGCAATTAATTTTAACAGTTTTACTAGTGCATTTGTTGATAAAGTTACATAACTTCAATTTATTTTTTCCCTTTTATTTCTCTACGTGCGATACAGTAATTTTGCAACCATCACTCTTCATTTTGAAAAGAAACGAGTGTTGTTGCCAAACAAAATTGCTCTTCAATTGGTAGTGTTTGCAGAAGGCGTCGAAGATGGGTACGGCAGCTTTCAAAAATTTTTCTCAGTTACTGGTAATAGCCTTTTTTGCGAACCTTATTTTGGGACAACGGGTAGAATGGGATGCTACAAATATACCAAATCCAACGGCTGGAGACTTCAAAAGATGTAATATGAAAACAACGTCTAGTATTTGTGATCCAGATGGTATTTTAAACGAACAGCAGCGGTATAGAATCAATCACGAGCTTTTTCAGCTTGAAGCTCGAACCAGACAGGTCAGTCCTATAATTTGAAAATTAACATCTATTCATTTCTGTTCATATTATCTTTGCTGTTGTTATCACTGTTTATAGGATGAAAAACAAACAGGAATTTTTTTGCAAGCTAACAGCTTTTGAGTAATGATATTAATTAGAAGTTTTTGTAGTTTCAGCAACAAACGGAAGAAGAAAAACGCTTGTTGATTAGTTATAAATGTTTGGCACATTGTCTTCATAATTAGTAAAGGGCGGACGTTGATATGGAGAGCAGAGCGTTTTTCTTCAGAATTGCTATTTCTCCAGTATTGAGGTTTAGCACCAACTGGAAATAGTTCTCACTTTAAATAACACATTGGCAATAGAATCGTGGTGCCAAATCTTATTTCACTGGATCTTCGTACTTAAATGATTAAAAATTCATTTTATAGACACAAGCAGCGGATTACTGTCAGAAGAAGGGTATTACAGCAGCAGCTGCTATTGTAAGGCACATTCGCGGAGGTACAGAACAGGTGACAATTTAATTTCAAGTAAAAACTCTGAAGAAAGTATACTTTTGGACGTTCTTATGAGTATTCAGATTTAAACAAAGTTTTCAGTTTGTAATTCTATTCATCAGGCTGCAAAAGAAATGGCAAATGCAATATTGCGGAACTGGTCGTTAGATCAGCAGTGCAAAAAATCCGTTGTAATCGTTCTTGCAACCGATGATAAACGCTTTTGGGTTGCTCGAGATGATCGAGTTCCTGTTTATGCCAATGAATTCACCGAGATTTTCAGTAATGAGGTAGTTTTGCTAATTTTTATGACATATTTTCAGTTTACAGTAGTATTTCACAGATTATCCAAGCTCAGCAGTCGTTATGTGATAAATGGAATTGCCAAAAAATATGTATTTCCATTTAACAATCAAATGACTTCTCGTTTAATTACGTTCAGAAGCAGCTATTCGCAACTGGCAAATACGATCAGGGTCTTTTGAACGTTTTACAAAATACTCGACAGAAAGCTCTTTCGAAGCAACAGACAAGTGAAGGCGGTCCCGCTGTCCAGCCAAACCAACCAGTTCCTCAACCAGTTCCTCCACCTAGTCAGAAGAAAGGGTTTCGGATCCCAATATGGATGTGGCTTCTCCCACTTTTACTCTTACCATTGTTGTGCTGTTGCTGTTGCATATGCTATTGTTGCTGTTGCCGTGGCAAAAGCCGGGGTAATGCCGAGTATGTGGCCGGTCAGGGTCCAACTGGAGATCGTTCTCAAGGGACTGCAGGTGCTGCAAACGCTGGCGGTAATAGGCGTAGTGGCTTACCCAATTTTTTGAGCAATGTTGGTGCAGCAGGACTGGGCACACTGGCGACCCAATTTTTAAGCAACCGGTTTAGGCGAGGGAATCAGGGACCTGCAGCCGGGAACGACCGGGCTGCATATCATGCAGGACACCAAGGGGGTGATGCCAGATATGCACCTGCATCGGGTGAGGAGGGGAAGAATCTTTATCCTTCAATTGTTGTACAAGATCAAGGAGGAGGAGGAAGTTGGAAATGAACTAACTGCTGAAAACTAATTTATCTGTAACTATAAATTAACTTTTTATTCTAAGGGTTAAGCTTGGTTTTTCACGCTAAAACATTTTTAATTACAGAGTCACATCTGAAGCTTTATATGAACTAATAATCTCACCTTAAATGACCGCTCGATGAGTAATTATATGCGGATATTGTTTGTTTGTTTGTTTTTATTTTTGGAAATTTGAAATGTTATTTTGAATTGTTAATGTTTTCTTTTCAGAAAACTTCAAGCACTCTTGTCTTTTAACTTCTGTGGATGTCAGGGAAAACGTTCAGTAACACTGGCATCATAATCATTTGCATAAGTTTCACTGCCACTTTTTTTCACGTCTCAATAAAAAGCTTTGCAAAATCAAACCGCCTTTCCTGGAGGAATGAGGTGTATCGAGGTTTTAAGGTTGATTGTTGACTGTGAGTGCCGCCCTGGCAGATATTTTTCAAAAGCTATAAGTTTCCGTAGGGTTCTCGCTTGAAGGGGAATTCCAGTTATGGTTAGTTTTTTTAGCTGGTTGAAGTATATGGATAAGTGGTGGGTTTAGGATAAGGTTCATTGCCATGGAATGCATTTTTCCAGCTACAACCCCCAAGATACGGTAGAGCTTTCTCTATAAACATTATAGCGTAGTTTGGAAATGGTTAAGAAGCAAAAAAATCCGAGTGGAACTGTTTTTGGATAATCGCAATACATCGATAATGAAAGTTGTGTTACCATCAAAATTTTATTCAAACTACTTGACTCTCGAAATTGAAAGATTGTAGTAGAAGTAATTCAATTCTCATGTCGAAATTGCTGAACACATTCCCGCAACAAGGTAGGGGATTAATCACTGCCGTTTTCAAAGCTCTCGTTTTTCCCATCGTAGCCACTGTGAGGAACACAACTAGGAGAGCGGTACTCACCATGACATGGCCGTCGATGACCGTATGTACCAACGCAGTTTTCGAGCAAAAAAAGCTTGTGGCTGCGTAAGAATGGTCAGTATGAGTTGCGCTTAAGCTATACAGCGGATGTGAAAGTCCAGGAACAGAAAGAAGAGTGAGATGTAGTTTAATTGTGGTTTTTTTCAGAGCTGATACTTTGATAACTTGTACTGTTAGAGCTTTTTCCGTTTGATAGCTCATTTTAATTTCAGCCAATTAAGGCAACGAATTCTAATCGTTATACTTCATTCCAACCAGTAAGGAAGATAAAGATGAGCAGTTTCTACGATGTTACTGTCAGTAACATAAGAACCAGTCATATTTTAATATAAATTTCATAGATCAATTTTCAAATGGCATCCATTATTCAAATGAAGCAAATGTATACTAAATGTTGATCAACACAACCTATAAAGCTTTAGATGAGGTTGAAATTCAAAATAGTCTTCAAAATGTATAAAGTCACTATAACACTTATGCTGAATGGAATTCTTACAGCATAGGCAGGAAGCGAACCACATTTTAGGCAAAAACAACTTTACATATCATCGCTGAAAGGCAACAATAAAAAGTAAAAGTAATAAGGAAAATAAATTAATCGATTGGATGCTCATTTCCTGACCAGCAAATTTAAACTTCAATATCTGAAAAAGGATTGTGATTTTAACAAACACTAACGAAATAGCATCAAAAATTTCTAGAGATAAGTTGGTAGGAAGTGACACCAATTGAACATGATTCAAAAGAAATTTTCTGGAATGAGAAGTCTTAAGATGCACACAGAGGACAGAGTTTCATTCCGATTCAAGAATCACTTTCCAATAGTTATCTTTTGGAAACTCAAATAAATAAATAAGTTTTAATTTTCAAGTCTATCAGCGGCATCGTACCTGGATTAAAAATGTGTCATTCTTACAAAAAAAAGAAACCAAACCGTTAGAAAGAGACCCATACATCACGATGTACATAAAAGAAATTCTAGTGAGTCAGCAAACCCAACGGTTTTATATCTCCTTGAATGAATTAAACTCCTTCTAATCAAAAATGAATTTGCTAAGGGATATCATCGATAAAATTTTTTAAAAAACCTATCAGTAAGAGAAAGCTTACCTTTCCCATGGTAATTAGCTAAGATCACCAACTGCACTTTCCCGTTTTGTAAAAGACGGACTACTGTAAACATTTAAAACTTCTAAGTTATAGTTACTGAAAAGATATGACTCAATCAAATTGCTTTAACCTCACCTTTTAGCCTTTACTATCTCTTGAAATACCTATGAAGCAGTTTTAGCTTTGGAGTGCCATATGGAATAAAGCAGAGTGGCTTCTCAGCTTTTACGACCTATTAAGTGAAGTTTTTAGCACAGACTTTCTTGGAAAACCACAACAAATGTATCCACAGAAACAAGACTATCTCAAAAAAAAAAAAAAAGAAAAAAAGGAGACTACGAGGGTGCAACTTCACTTAACACTGTAACACTTATTGAATTCCTTAGCTTTCAACGAATCCAAAATTTTATAAACCAAGTATCATTAATAAGACACTACTACACCAAAAATAACAATAAACAATATAACCGAATTGCCTCTATCAACCGTCTTAACCTGAAAAAGGTCCGGAAGTGGGAGAATTAGCCTGCGTTCCACTAGCGCTACTTTGAGTAGTTGACAGCTGAGAAGCTTCGCGACGCATGGCATTTGTCGCAAAGCCAGTTAAATTAGGGAACCGAATTCCTATATCTCGGGAAGTTTTTGATGGCACCTAAAAGTTGAAAAACTCTTTGCTCGGTTTTGTAACCTCAAAAAAAAATTATTATGAGTGATGTCAACTCTGAAAACAATTAACGAAAAACAACTGTGACAACAAAGATGTGAAGTATTTTTGTTCTAACCTATCATTCACAACACCAATGTTAAATGCTTACTATCAAAAACTGAAAGCAACGACGTGGTCGTTCCTTAATTTTAAGCAAATCATAGCCACATCCCGTTTGGTCACCGCCTTTGAAAAAAACCTAATAGCGCGTTTGCCTTTACTTCATCCTAATCACCCATAAGGTTTATCATCACTTATTAAAGCAAAAAAAAAAAAAAAAAAAATGTTCTATTAGATCCACAACTCTGCTACATTCAAATTTTGGGTTACTACAGCATAAGGTCCGTACAAAAGCATTTTGTCGTTTTAAAGATCTCCGCAAAAAAAGACGCAGCAACATCTCATTTCGTTACCAACAACAAGAAAAACAGCCGAAATCGCAACAATAAAAGTAACAAATCTGATCCTTGCAGTCCTTCACTAGTGGAAAATTATCAAAGTCCAATGCATTCGACACAATTCTGAATCACTTGTTTAATGGATTTGAAGTTTCTGAAGGTCCTTATCATTTTACAACACAGCAGCTAGTTCAAATCACTATATATTTTTTCATTTTAATTTCATAAGCAAAAAAAGTGTTTTCGTATGTATTATCTTTCGGTTAGCACAGTTTTTGGAAGTAGCTTGTGCCCTCTCTGAAACTACCATTACAAAACTGAATTTACTAGTGTACTTTGCTGTTACAACAGTAACCATTAAACCTTTCGCATTTGAAAGATAATCTCTATCTTTTTGAAGCCTTAAACAGCATTTTAACAATGCAGTAACTGCACTCATACCCAACGTTTATCCGATAAAATAAAAAATATTTATTTGGCAGAAATGCTTAAACCGTATATAGATGCAAGCTTTAATTTCTTTTTTTTTTCTAGTAAATTGTTGAAATAGTGAACATAAGCCGGTTAGAAGTAGTAATCGCAAAACTTTGCGATTGTATACAGCAATTTCTAAAACCGATGCGCCGCACTTAAAACAATACTTATATAACAAATATTCCAAAACATAAAAATACTTTTAAAAAAAATAAGAAAAAAGTGACTTTAAATTTTTATTTCCTTAGTACTGCTTCTCGCAAATAAATTAGAAAAAAACAGGAAAAAACTGAGAGATAAGAAGAGTATATACATTAAAATTGGTTCGATTTTTGCAAACTCTAAATCCTCCATACTCAGCATCTGAAATTAAGAAAGAAAATAAAAAAAAAAGAAGATGAAAAGATTGAACTGTATTAGAATTCAAACGTTTTATTCGCAAACAAAACAGCTTAGCGTCTTTGAAGCTTATCGCTTAAAACAGCTAGAACATAAACCAAACCAGCTAACCTTACCTGTCACTAGCGCATTACATCTATTATAGGTCATTAATTGTAGCATTAAACTTCTACTTCCCTCAAATAAGAACTTGAAAAATTTCTCATTGATAACTGCCCAAATCGCCACTTTAATTCGTTATACTCGTTTGACCCTTTAAAAGGACTTACCTAATTAAACAACAAAAGTGGAAAGAACGAAACGATAAAGAAAAGATGCATAAACTGAACAAAGTCTTTCGGTGAGAGAATTTTCTCCTCTAAGTCTCCAAGACCTTTCGTGTTTCATTTTCAAGTGTAGTTCTTATTAAGTTTCGACAAAAAATACAAAATTATCAAAGAATACTTACTTTTCAGGATCAAGCCGCTACCAAACATAATACTGACTCTGAAGGAAACTAACTTACTAAACAGAGTGTCTAAATAGAAATTTGAGGGAAAAAAACCATGCGTTTTGAACAATTAAAGCATGTAAACTGAATACAAACTAATAAAAAGAAAACCTTGCAAAGAAATGACAGTTTAATATAATGAAGTAAGCAAATTAAAAATAAGGTAAAACAGCAAGAACACGAATCATAAATATTTGGTAAAAACAAACTTTCGGCAACATCACCTCAGCTAACTATCACTTTTAAAGCGAAGACAAAGTGTAAGAGAATTTCAGCCATAAAAAAGAAGTATAAAAATAAAAAGTGAAAAATAAAAAAAATAAAAACAAAAATTGAAATTAAAAAGTAAAAAATTAGAAAAAATTAAGAAAGAAGAAATCACATAAAAAACATTTTTTATAAGCAACTAAAAAAAATTTTGCATATTTGCTGAAACCATAAAAAATTTCCTCATTTTGTTATACTGTCAACCTTTTCAAACGAACGAACAATAATGTTGCTGTCTATCAAAGTTAAGCTAATCAGACTGAAAAAACTAGTAAAATTCAATGAATAAAAGAAGTTAGAATTCATAAATTTTCTAAATCAACTAACAATACATACATGCTTGGTTCAGTCAATTTCACTGGAAAGTAGGGGGAGCAAGCAAAGAGGGGGACGTTGAAGGAGGGGGACATACAGGGGGCACACTTTCCATTGACGATAATGATGCTGCTGACTCCCCTGTTGTAATACCGGTCACGCTTCGTAAGCTTCTCGATACCTTTCGGGAAGCTTTACGTGTGATAAATGAAGGAAATTGAACACTTGGCTAAAATTGGTAATTCATATCTAAACAAAACTATGCCAAGTCATAAAGATCTGAAAATGATTAGAAGTAATATCAAAAGAATGAAAACTCGAACAAAATTCAGCATTGAGCTAAAAAACTGATAAATTTATGGATACTACAAAAGTTTTGCTAAAACAAATAACCAATCTTTCGCTTAGAAAAAAAAATGAAACTTTTTTTTCCTTTTTTCCTGATGCAGATATTAACCATGCTTTTTCATCTACCACTCTAAAACATTTTTCTGTAGTCTAAGAACTTAGTTTGACTTCTCTCGATTCTGTTTCTAGCCTGTACAATGCTTATATAATCATAGTAATGCAAAAAGCAATCCATATCAAAAAAAAAATAAAAAATAAAAATTAAAAAAATCAGAAAAATTCGTGCCCCATTACATTACAAAAAGCTTCGCAACAATAAGTAGCAAACAAAATCAGCAACCAAAAGCAGTACACACAGTTCGGCCAGCAATTATCAAAAGCAATAAAAATGCATATAACTGCCAAAAATTAAAAGAACTAGAAATATCCACAAAAACTTATCCTAAAGAATCAGTGTTTAGCACAAGCACTTCGTGAAGCCAGAAGAATAACCATAGCAAAAAAAAAAATTAAGAAAGGGCAAACGGCTTTAAAATTTTAACTTCACGTCTTTAGTAGTTGTCACACTAACAAAAAAAAAATATATAAGAAAAGATAAAAATAAAGACAAAATAAAAAAATATAAAAGAAAGAACAAAACAATATCTGATACTAAAAAACAAAAAAGACCAACTGCCTTGACACATCAAAAAAACCAATAACTGTAAATAAACCATTTTGAAAAGTCTAGCAGTCAATCGACCTCGATTTTTATAAAGGCAAAACGCAAGCGAAAAAACGCAAGCCGTGAGTACAAACGTGGTAACTGAGCTAACAGAAATGTCATAGAGATCTTTTAGGATTGAAACTTTGTAATCCAAAGATCTTACAACACTCTTTAGAGAAATTTCAGTTTCAAAATGTCACTGGAACGTCAACAACGTACGCTCTAAATTCTAATAAACATGAGAAAAATTGTCGACTTTTGAAAACATCCTAAGAAACCTCCTTGCTACACACCCAAAACAGGAGAATATGCAGGAATTTCTGATACTCTGTTACAACGTCGTTTCCGCCTAATGAAAAAGTCTTATGTCAATTATCACGCAAACACATCTTCAAAGCAAAAATTATTTTTTACGACAGGAACCTCGGGCTCAAAGGAAAACTGTTGAAAACGCAAACCAGTTTACAAATTTGACCAACGACAAGAAGTGTCCATCTGCCTTATACTAGAACGGTACCTACCAGTGACTTAAAAAGCAATACAACGATGCCTCCTTAATCAGAATTGGTTCGCTGCCCCTTGAATTCAAACAGATCCATTACAGAATGTCCGTTGAGAAGCTACACTAGTATTTCACAAGTAATTCCACTCCTTCTGGCAACATTCTATGACATTGAGGCTCTTTTTATTTTCACATCCCATGATACTGTTATGCACCCGCATTTTTCCAGTCCTCCTGTTCTTGCATCCTTGGTTTGTTTCACACAAAAGTGCAATAACGAACAAAGACTTTAACCAAGCACGCCACCATATTTGAGAGATAGAGAGAGTAATGCACCTGGAACCTGACAGAAGCTGGACACCAGCACGCACTTCACATTAAAGCAGACCTATGTCTATGGGAGCTCTCGACATGCTGGGCTTAAAAGAAATAAAACGTTGTAAATAAATGCTAAACCTATCCCGTAGAAATTTGTATGACTGTCAACCAAACATCAAATGTTCCCCGCACGTGTAGTCTGAATGGTAAAGGCTACCCCCAAGTACAACTGTGTCACCAGCGTATACCGTGCTGGAGAACCATTGATCGCCATTTTACAATGCTAGTGACTTATTTTTGTGAAGTTTATCTTAAAGGCTTCTCCTAAACTTTCCAACTTTATCAGCTATGATGAGCTCCCAAAATGAAGCAGAACGCATCTGGTTTAATCTCATACCCGATTTCCAAATACCGAGTTTTTTGCAGAGTCTTACGCCAAAAATCCTCAAAAGTTTTCAGCAAACTGTTTTCCAAAAATCCAATTGACTATGCAGTTTTCACCCTTATCTTTTTTTTCTTTTAAAATAAAGGTCCCGACTAAGAAAAAAATTGTCATATATATAAGCCTTCCATGTAAATTTTACTCTGTGGCTGAAAACGAAAAGGGAAACGGAAAAAATCAACATGACTAAACACTCAAAACAAAACACCTTTAAACTATTTTCTCTGTTACGGAAAACAGAAGTTACTCAAAATGATGAGTAGCGTAAACTGAAACTATTCTAAGAACGAATGCAAAAAGT